GTATATTACCTCAAAGTTTTCTGTTTTAACCTATTTTAATTGCCAAAAACACATTTATGAATCCAGATTCAATAATTTTACATTCCAATTAAATAGAGTGTTAAAGAACTTATAGATATTTCTTTATCACTATTCTTAATCAAAACTCGACGGTGAAGTTGATGCTAGTGGCTAAAGTCGACTGTGAAGTTGATGCTAGCCTCCGCCAAATTTCCTATACTGCCACTCTATTATAAGAGTTTGGCCAGTAGTATGACATGCGGCGATTTAAGTGAATACTTTTTGAAATAATATTTTATTGTACTAAAAAGTATTTACTTAAGTAAATCGTTTTAAAATTCCAATTTTCAAAGCGATTTACAAACATAGCTCATAGATTATTGTGTGATGTTGATCTCTTTTTTAACAACCATAATATAATTATTGTTGTTGAAGATGTCACATCAGCTAGGGTTTTTTTTTTTCAAAAATAGGTCTTCGCAATTTATAATGGTTAATCACATTTTGAAATTGCAAGTTCAAAATTATCTATGTATTAAATTTCTAAGTTAAATTAAGTATAAATCAAATTCTTATAACAAAATAAGAATTACAATTTTATGTGTATCAAACTTGTCTCAATTCTATAAGTTGATTAAAATTATGTCAATTCTATCTGGTGTTATGTCAAACAAATAAACTAATAAATTGATGTAGAATCCACTATATGCTTCCTACATCAATGGATTTACTTTGTCTAGGAAGGTATTCTAATATTGTTTTTTTTTTAACATCTATGTTTATGTTGTTGTAATTAAAGTTCCAATTTTTTATCGTTATTTTTCCTTTATTTATCCAATAAGTGAAAGGATCGCATGGAAATTGTTCTATAATTTGGATATAGATCTTGAAGCGTTCGAAATATAATTCCGTGGATTTTTCAGATTTTGCGAGAGACAGGGATCATGGAATGAAGTTTTAGTGTTACTAATTTTGTTCGAGTAAGACCAATAATTACTTTATATTTTTCAATTGATGAAGTTGCTAAAGCGGCAGAAGTTTGTTCTTCTTCAAATTTATCTTTGATACTATACAATGTTGTACTTTTTGTAATGATTTTACTTTATTGTTTGAGATTAGAGCTTTGTTATTTAATGTTGTACTTTTTTTTATCCGTTTTTCCTTGGCTAGAAGGCTGTGAACTGAATTTGTAATATGTAGAAGCATCTTTACTTATCAAACTCAAAACAATTAGACTGTAATACATTGAATTCAAACAATTGTGTGCTTAAGCTATTGTATTTTTATTTCATTTATCTAGTCATCTCGTAAACTATTTTTTGCCTTTTTTTTATAGGGAAAACAGTCCTATCATTTATTATTTAGGCAAATTAATGAATAAATCGATCAGAAATCGCTTTAAATGGGTTAATTATTCCAAGATTTATTATCTTCTCATAGATGTACTTCTTGTTTAAGGAATTTGAGTTAGTTTTTAAATATATATGGGTGTGTTTTTTCATAAGTATCTTCTATATATGCACCTTATTTCATGTTCCTTATGCATTATTTAGTTCATATATCTTATAAGCTTTTCTTTTCCCATCAGAGAATCTAGACAGAATGTTAAAGAGCTTTTTCTTATGTTACACCTCACATGGCTACAGTTTGTGGTTAATTTCATTTCAGATCTTTGCATGTTCTTGTTTTTATTTATTTATTTATTATTTTTCAATTATTTTATAAACAAATGTCAATATCTTCGGAAACCTGAGTTTAATTAACGCTATACAAATTATAATTTATATTAGAATTCTATTTAAAATTTGAGATATGTATAATGCGTTAGATTAAGAAATATGAATAATAACATGTTTGTATTTCTATAATCATAGTAACGCGTACACAAAATTTATTATATGTATAGTTCTTTTATTAAATCAAATTTAAAAACTACGAGACAAAGAGTAATATAATCGACAATATCACTCAAATTATATTAAATATGGATATAAATCAAGTAATGAACAGAAAAAGTCTACAAACCTAAACAATGTAATCGATTGGTATTGAAAACCATGATTTAGCACCGAAAAAGCAAAGAAAACAATAAAATAAAATAACACCCAAATTGAACAATATTCAAACCCCATTTCCCAAATTAAACGAATATCATAAAAAAATTCACCAAACAATTGAACATAGCAATATGGCCTGACCAAAAATAGAAAAAAGATCTCTTCTTCACTTTCCAAGCAACAAGAGGCAAAATTGAAGATTCAAAGCAGGGAAAACGGAAATATTGATGTTAAGTGGTTCTTTAAAAAATAAAGTGTTAGTGTATATGTTATAAATATCCAATAAAGTGACCTGTAAAAAAAATTAAGTATTATATAAAACATATATCTGACTACATTAAGAAAAGGTAAGTTGAATGTTACTTTTCATTGCATTGTGACAGGTACTTTTCTGTTATGTCACAGTTTCTTTCATTGCATTGTCACAGTTACTTTTTTGTTATGTCACATTTACTACATAACTTAATTATGAAATTGTTATGTCACAGTTACTTTTCATTGCATTGTCAATGTTACTTTTTTGGGTTGAGCTAATATATAATTACTTTAACCATACAGTGAATTATGTCTATCTTAAGATCTATGAAAATCTGAGCTCTTTTATCATTCACCTATGCTTTTAATTTTTTTATAATCTGAGCACTTTTATCATTAGCTGATGTATTAGCATGCAATTCTGATAATGTCCAGCACCATAATTACTGCCCAAGATTCCAAAATAAAGTAGATCTACATAAATTTTTTTCCTCTTTAAAAATTTAAAATCATTTATCACGTTATTTCAAATAACTTAATATTAATACATTTAAACAAACCAAGACTTCTAGATTTATATTTATTTCTCACCATAAATCTATCTTAATATGTCAATGTTCCTAATCACTTACGATTCAGCAGTTCATTTTCAATTTTCAATTAAAGGGCAAGATAAGTTGACACTTTGCTATAACCCTTGTTTCAAAATTGGACTGAGAAGGATGATAATTAGTTATCATAGATAAAAAAGCATAACAGAAAGCCATGAGTAATGGCTAGGTAGCTACCCTTAGCAACTCAAGCATATAAACTAAACTGCATGTGGGAAAAAAATTACTCCATTTCCACCACACAAGCACACATTATACCAAACATATCGTTAAAAGAATCAGTCATAGAAAAACAGTTAGAAACACACACTCATCCCTGATCATCACACTTTCTTTGATTATGTGTAATAGCTCCTTGATATATATTTTTTTTCAATACTATCATATTCAAATTAAAGTACTTACCCATAGTATTCCCTTTGTATACTTGAGAATTCCGCCAACGATTCTCCCTCTTCCTGCGCTTGCTAGAATTGTTTTTGTGTATAATAAATTACATATATAAGAAAGAAATAATCTTTAACACAAGTTAGCTTAACATAGAGACTTACAGTGCATCACATTCTTGTGTAGATACTTGTGAATAACTATCAAGTATTTGTTTCCAATTTATGCAATCCTCGATCTGAGTGTTCAAAGGTGCTTCTAAACGACGCTTCATTCCGTATATATCGTCAAGATCCCTTTTAACAATAAAAATATATTTTTTATTTTGTCGTGACACTGTCGAACGTAAACTAACAATAATAATTCCAAACTCTTTTAAACAAAAAATCAACTGAGTTTAAAATATACAATATCATAACATAGCTAATCAATATTTAAAATGAACAAATATACATGGTAGATTAAATTTACTTGAAAAGTGTTTTTGTTTTCATATAGACGAATAATATTATATTCTTACAATAGAATAATTCATGCCTATAATCTGTTACATACATAGTACAAAAAACACCAGTACCTAATAAAAGGCTTAATATTAATTTTAATCTAATTATATAAACAAAACAGGTTCTATGTCTACTGAACCCAGATTACAGCAATAATTACATCAGCTGAATTTTTGTCTTTTGACAACAGTTTTGAGCTCTTGTAAACCACTAATCAAGCGTGTACCAGTTTTAGGAACATCAGAACTTGAACTATCTCCACTACCCCCCGATCTTCGATTAAATAAATCAGTATTAGATGTGGTGTCCAATTTCTCAATGTTGTCTATCTCAGATTTGCTACTGTTAATTTTGTATGCATCTACTAAATCAGTGTGCAGATGGTGAGATTGTTTAGCTCGACCCTTCCTTAATAACATAAAATTATCACGAACCAAAGAAAAACTCTTATTTCTAGCTAATGCCACAACATAATTAACATCTATAATTTCAAAACCATATTGTAACGACATGAAATTGATCGTTCTCCTTGCTAATTTTTGTTCAACCTCATTCAATTGAGGAGAAGGTTGCTAAAAAACACATTCTATTTTACCACCATGATGACGACATTTTACAACAACCCAAGATATATAACCTAGTTCTCTGTCCCAAACACTCTCTATAGGACTTACAATAGCACCTGTCTTGAGAATAATAGTTTGAAGTAGCGTAATGAAATCTATCGTTATGGATTTGCTATTCCCAAGAAGTCCTACATCCATAACTTGTTTTTCGGCTAGTTCTTCCTTAAAAGGAACAATGCAACCCATCTCAACAAGTTCACGTCTATATAACTTTTCACACGTGCAATGCATCTTAACCTTTCCATAACTAACATCATCAACCGTAAATTTATAATATGTCATCAATTCTAGTACACTCTTTTTAGCTGCAACTTCACATGACTCTTCTATTGCATCGCTTCATCGCCAATGTAGAAAAATTCCTTAGAACTGTCATATGACTTAATCGATAAAGATGCACTATTCTTGGTTCCATCTATATAGCCATACACCGGATTTTTAAGATGGAGATGATTAGTGATTCGTTCTATCAAATACAAAAATCTAATAGCTATCCTCATTGATTTAGAGTCCGTAACCTGTATTTAGGAAATGATGTACTTGTCAGTCCATTTCAACTTAAAAAATTTTCCTATTAAACAAGATTAACTACCCTTACTAACAAATGTATCACAACTTAAAAGCCCGAAGCAAAATGTAATCTATTAAACGGTATCTATTAATTTATTATATTATATCATTCTAGTAATTATTTACCACTCTTTACAGAATAAAGAAAAGAGAGAAAAGGAATTTGTATCTTCTATTAACAAACCAATCAAAAGATTAACTTCAATCCAACTACAAATCTCATAAACCATAACAATTTCATTGATATCATAATTATCATTCAAAAAACACAACAAAATTCGGGAGTTTACACAAGTTGCAATCTATTTAACCTCCTACCAATATCTAAATAGCAACCACCTTCAAAATAACTAACTCCCAGCTTCCTATATACAACATTCAAAATAAAAAATACATTACTTCCTTTAAAAACTATAATTGGAACATTTACTACGCTATCTACTACCACAACAAACCACATATCCAAAATAATTCATTGACTCCTATAAATTGCCCTCTTGTTATACTTCATTAGAACTGAATTAAGTGTCTCCTTTTCTTTTTTCTTATCTTCTTCTAATCTTTTAAACTGCGAACTACCTTCATTAGTAACCTGCTCAACCCAATTTAGGTATCTAACGAGGTCTTCCACCACAATAGGTGCTTGATCAATTGCACTCTGCACTCCATTTGCTGCATTTTTCAACACCAAATCAACGGCAACCTTCCTCTGATAAATCTCTTGTTCCATCCCCAAAACTCCCAGTTTCAGAACCTCCATGATGCGCATATGAACTCTACAAAACTTTTATAATGCGCAATTGCAATTTCAATTTCCTTTGCATTTTCCATCCCTATATATAATGAACAACTACGCACGCAACGAATCCTATAATACAATAAAAACAAATAAGTCAAAATTTTTTTAAACCTAACCACCTATATCAAGAGAATATACATTCTTATAGTAACATAATAAAAGGAAATGTGTGTCATTTTGAGATATGTTGAGTCTTGGTATAAACATATCTATATAAATGGCCATTCCCAACTAAAGCCTTGATCTTTCCTTTTAAACACCTAGCATAGCCTTGATCTCAACTTTTAAATACAAATCTTTTTATCCAACAAAAGAAACACGCATTCTTATGGCTAAACACAACTTTCAAACCCTCTACTCACCTATAACATATACTGTCTAAAACCACCCATTTACAATCAACAACACTTCAAATAACCAGAAACAACACAAAATAGCAACAAAAATCCAGCACTAAAAGGAAGATAATAGCAATAGTCAATTAGTGAAGCAAGTACCTTGAAAACAGGTACACCCAACTCAATTACAGCTTCACATAAGACACCGTGCTCAACTCTTAACTCAAGTATAGCTCCATTTGAGACACTGTGCTCAACTCTTAGTCTTGACAAAATGGTCTAAGTTTCAAAGTTGAATATACGCGCGAAATATTTTTGCAAAGAAAAAGCTACTGAACTGTTACAGTTTTTACCAGGAATATAAAACTAAGCATACACATCATAATGTACTCTCTTTTCCGAATTTATCCAACAAATTACATATTTAAATCGTAATGTGCAATAAGTTATCTTCTAGTCTAGCATTAAATATTGCAAATATAGTTGAGGTCATTGGTCACCAATAAAATAGTCCTAATTGATTAGTCAATTAACAATTTAATCTATTTGCTAGTAATTTTGTCATTCAATTTGAATATGGATTGGTTTCCAATTGATATACAAATCAAATGTTCTTGTTGTTCTCTCACCGAACAACTCTTCTAGTAGTACTTCATTTTGATATGATTTCCATGTGCAGCATGAGTGTTGTGTACTAAACATGGTGGTACACACAAGCATAAAATTGAAACAAAGAATTACCAATACCACATCAGCTTCAAATAGCAAGATGTATTAAGGGAGACACTAAAGGTATCGATGTGTAAATATGAAGTAAGGGAAAGGTAATAATTTTCAGATCTAAAGTTGCTTATTATAGATTAGTTAGAATTTTTGCAACTAATATGAAATTCCACAAAAAAAAAAACTATCCAAGCTCTGCGCCCCCCCCCCCTAATTTTGTACCTTACAAATATAACCATAAACAGATTTTGGATAGATTCATCATATCTGTTTATTTTTTGTGTTTTTTTTTTAAAAAAAAAGAGAGAGAAGTGATGTAACTAAAAATAAATTGATGAAGTATTGATAACACATCACATTGATAAGAAAGGCAAAGCATAGGAAGCTCAAGCTACCATCCTACTTCTATTGATCTACTATAAGCCTAAAGCCAACAACTTATCCACGCCAGAAACTACACAATATGAACACCACCATCAGTGCCCCCTTGATGACTATAACCTATGGCAGAGTTTAAAATGACAATGCTATCTGGAGTTCACTGTTCAAACAAATTTTAAAGTAATAGTGAGCCAATGATGAAATCTACAAGTATATATGCTATTGAGATCTCAAAGGACCTGCTTGAATAAATCGTATAGAGAAGTGGCCTAAAAAACAACAACCATTACTCCAGCTCTTGTAATCACATAGCTCACTTATTGCTGAACAATGGGACATCGAACCAAAGCATAGATGCCAAAAAGTCAGTAATGGTAGGAACACCCTACTTAAAGTAATACCCTCGCCCCTCAAGCTACATCACTCATTTTCAAAGTCTTGAAGAATTATACTCCGTGATAGATAAGGCTTAGAAAACTAAAGAGTGCAATGACATAATTAAAGCTTCCAAGTACAAATATAATTACAAAATCACAAACAAAGCCCCATATAAATTTTGACTATTTTATAGTAGCAAAAGGGGAAAGAAAAATTTGAAATCCAAAGACCACAGGCTAACAACATTTTCAGCACGGTTCAGATCACAATTGCAGAAGCAATGTCCTAATTTGAGATTTGATAAAACTAAAGTTGTAAATGAGCAATCCAAGAGATCAGCATACAAACCTTCTGATGAGCAGATCTTTTAGTTCTTTCTGTTTGGCGAGCTAGACGAATCTTTTTCAACACATACCTGCAATAATGATCAAAGGTATAACAATCAAAGCCAGCAACATAGGAATTTCACAACACAAAATTATTAGAATTGGAAAAAACAACATAAAGGCAGGAACATAAGAAGGACTCCTTACTTCTTCCTTAAAAAAAGAAAAAAGGAGGACAAATTGGATACCTAAAAAACATACAAAACACCCACCAAACCAAGTAACAAAAAATAATAACAGCAAAAATTCAATGGGTATGCTCAGATAAACATACCCAAAAAAAATAATTCTAATTCATACTCATAGGACTAATGCTTAATTGCTCAAGAGGATAATGAAATTCCCTAATTTCATAGATTCTTCTATTCAAACTATCTAATCCTACAAGTTTCTTAATTTTCAACAAGCAATATCTAAGGTTTAGCCTATTCATACCTAAACATACCAATAGTATCATTATAGATGCACCCATTATACTAATACAAAACAATACAAATTAACTACTGTAGGCGTTGCTCGAAGTGCGCCTACGTAAAAAGCATGTGTGAATATGCTTGGTACTCATTGGAAGTGGGAATTGACATTATACGATTACGGATAAGGAAAGTAGGGAGCCGCCAACAAATTTTTAAGGAACTTGTAAACCGTTCACAGATCATAAAAAGGCAACCACGAATAAGGGACAACAAAGGCAACAACGATTGACCCGTGAAGGTTACACCCCATTCATAATCCATGAGATTACTAACTCCATATGGTTCGAAACCACGAAAGGAGGATCGGGGATGATGGTACGAAGTGAATCATGGAGTCACATTCGCCCGTATTGGCCTCTACTCGATTCTCATAGTGAAAAGTGATTCCTGCGATCTCAAAGGCATACAAACAAAGATTCAATTTGTTCCAAACTATTTTTAAGCTAAATTGGTTGAATACTAATGCAACACATAATTCTAAAATATCGTGATCACTTCATTAAACAATAAGATTAAAAAGGAACCTAAACCGGTTGTCCAAATTATCTTATTAGGAGTTATTTTCAATTACATATTCCCTTTAAACATACAATATGGTGATCAAAATAATAATAGAATAACAACAATATTGGAAGAAATTTAACAATAATAGTGTTAGTCAAATCAAATATAAAATAACCTAATCATGATACTAGCAATATAAAATAAAATAAGAGTAATTAATTTAATTAATTACTTACATTCAGCACGTTCCTTTAAATTGCTACATCATGAATAAACTGTTAGTAACTTCAATAAAAAAATATAAATTAAATGGTAATTAAATTAAATAAAATGTAGAGTTGATTTGGTCCAAACCCTCAATTATTTGTACCTTTCACGCCTTGATTTATAGACGGAACCTCGGGTTAAGTATATGCTTAGGGGAATTATTATGGAAGAATAAGGAGGCTAGAAATTAGGTTAAAGAGGGAGAAGAGAATGATTTTTGGTGTAAGGTGAGAGAGAATGATTATTGGTGCCCCCGAACAGCAGAAAGGGGGGGGTCCTATTTATAGGGAAAATGAGCAGAGGGAACACGCAGAACCCTAAAAACATAAAAACCCTAAAAAATAATACCGTGTCACGGCAAAGAGCACTGTGACACAGTGACAGGCACCGTCAGACGGGGGAAGATCCTGTGACACGGGGAAAAACTGAGTGACGCGGGAAATAATTAGGTTACGGGAAGTGAAAACGCGTTTAGGGATTACGCGGAAAAAACACGAAGCAATCCCGTGGCACGGGATGTGCACCGTGACACGGGAAGAAATTCCGTGACACGGCATTGTCCACCGTGGCACAGTGCAGTATGCCGTGTCACGGTGTAAAAAGTACGCGGAAATTACACGGAATATCCCCGTGTCACGGAATGGGCACCGTGACACGGTGCAAAATCTCGTGAAACGGGAGAAAATTGTGTAGAAATACTAAAATGGGAACCGTGTCACGGGAATCAGCCCCGTGACACATCAGCTTTTGCCGCGTCGCGGCATTTTTGCTGCTACGCGGTAATTTCTGTTTTTTACCCGTTTTTAAAATAATCATAACTTTTGATCCGTAACTTGGAATAAGGTATATAATATATCATTGGAAATCTTATCAAGTCTACTTTCCAACCCAATTTAAATCAAGTCAAAATGATATGCAGATTTTATGATATGGACGTTTTAGTGGAAGGGTGTCGGTTTTAGGCCGAGTTTAGTGTTTTGCTCATATCTTTTTCGTTATAGCTCGGAATTGGGCTTATGATACATGGTAGGAAATCTTATTTAAAGGCCTATCCAAAAACATAATAATTGGATCAAAATTGTATATCCATAAAATCAGTTTCTCTCAGTTTTGCGATGTGGACACGAAAAGTGGAAAATAGGTTATGGTTTAGGGAAATGAGCTAGAAATTGGATTGGTTCATGAAATATATTGGATAGAACAGGAATTTAAGCACTCCAAAGATTAAATACTCAACTCGACCAATAATGGTGGTGAAAGGTGTTCATCAACGGGTTTGGTTTTGGGGAGACATTTTTAGGTGTCTACAGAAGCCCCCACTTTGACTGAGTTTGTAGAAACGTCAGTTTCGAAAACAATAGTCAAAGTAGCCGATAGGGACGGAGAATTATTTAAGACGTTCTGCGATCCTAAATCATTCTGTATATGCTGATATCTGCAGAAAAATGTTAGTTCTACAGGTGAAAGAGTAAAAGGATAAAATGCTTATCTAACACCAGTGTATCGGTGGCAAATGAGCTTGGTAGCTTCCTATGCTTGAAGGAATCCACCGGATGATGTCTGTTGAACGCTCTCCATGCTTGAGGAAAGCCGACTGATGAATTTGGTAGCTTTCTAAGCCTGAAGAAATCTACTAAATGATACTTTCCATGTTTGAGGAAAGTCGACGTATGAATTTGGCGGTTCTCTATGCTTGAAGAAATCCACCGGATAATACTTTCCATGATTGAGGAAAGTCAACAGATGATGAGTAAACCTGGGCACCGTGCCGGGCCGGGCCGCCGCGGGCCGTGCCTGGCGGGCCACAGGCTGGTTCGTGCCGTGCCCGTCGTGCCGGCGGGCCCAGGATTTCGTGCCGTGCCGTGCCGGCCATTTTCACAGGCCAGCCCACGGCACGGCACGACCCTCGTGCCTGGCGGGCTCGTATCGTGCCGGCCATGTGCCGGCCTGCGGGCTGGCAGCGGGCTGGTGCAGTTTTCAATTTTTTTTTTTTTTTTTTTTTTTGTTTTTTTATATGACAACATTATAAATTAATAAGTTTATAATGTATATAAGTTATAAAATTATAATTATAAGTTTTATAAGGTTATAACTTATAAGTTTATAACTTATAAGTTATAAGTTATTAAGTTATGAATTTTATAATTATAAGTTGAATATTTATGTTTTATAATTTGTATATTCAATATTTATATTTATATATTTACTTTATACTATTACTTTAAAATTTAATGTTTATGATTTATTAGTAATTGGTATAATTTTATTTTTTTTAATATGAATTTACAAATTGTAACAAAACGGGGAAAAAAGGCAAATTGGACTTTGGATGTGAATAATGCGTACTTTATATAATTATTACTTGAGTTGAGAAAGTTGTACAATGATAACAATGATAAAAATCATACAATGATGGTATTAAACAAAAATTGGAAAATGATAAAATTGATATTTTTAAAATCGTACAATATACAATAATTGTCTATTCTTCTTCTCCTTCTTCTTGCTCGTCTTCGTCTTCGTCTTCGTCTTCGCCTTCGCCTTCAAGGTCATCGGCTAGTTGCATAGATTGGGAACTAGCCGAACCCGAACCGGAAGCGGAGGTTCCTTCTTCGTTGTCGTTGTGGTCGTAAGAACGGTCTTGTGAGCGATTTTCTGCATCCAACCAATCTTTGAAACACACACACATTTCTAGTGTTTCGGGTTTTAGACTTGTTCTTCTATCGTCTAAAACCCTTCCGGATGCGCTGAAAGCTCGTTCGGAGGCGACGGAGGAAACTTGGATAGCAAGCATGTCTCGTGCCATTGCCGCCAAAGTTGGATGCTTCGAGCTTTGTTGTTTCCACCATGCAAGGAGGTCGAGGCTGTTTATCTCATCGTCGTCCATGCCTTCGGTGAAGTCGTAACTCAGGTACATCTGCAACTCCGAGACGTCGCTTTGCGTTCTCCTGATTGATGAATCACCTGAAAACCTTGAAATCAAGTTAGTAGCTTGTGAAAATAAATGTTTGGCCTTCTTACTTACGTTTTTGGATGGTTGGGAAGGCCCTGAGCGAGGAACGGTGCCATATTTGGCTTCATAGACTCTATATAAAGCAAAAAACTGATCCTTCACATTAGTCTTATAGTTTTCTACATCATCGTCAAGAAACATGCATTGAAAGTAAATGTCAACTAACATAAATGTGTTTTCATACTTTTGCCTAGGATCTAATATGGAAGCAAAAATATAAATCAAAGGAATCTCACTATAATATTTACGCCACTTTTTTTCCATTGCTGGAAGATACTGATCATAATCACTTTGATGGCGATGATCAGCGAAAAGTTGGGCGAGTAAGCATGCATTAGAAAGAAAGTTTTGAGCACAAGGATTGTAAACAGTAGAAAAACAATACGTCATATTATATAATAACTGTAAAAATTGCATATATCTTTCACAGTTATTCCAATCATCATCATACAAAGCATTTTGTGGAAATTTTTGGTTGTAAAATAATGTTAACGGGCCCTTGTACTCAATTGCCTTTGTTAACATGTCATAGGTGGAATTCCACCTAGTTGGGCAATCGGTTCTAATTTTTATTACCCTTATCTTTTGTTGTTTTAGAAAACTCTTCCATTCTTGGTATCTCATGTTAGAGCTATTAATAGACATAATAGCATCTCTGATTTTGCTGTAGTATGGGCCAATTGCCCGAACTCCATCCTGTACACATAAGTTAAGTACATGGCAAACACATCTAGTATGAAGAGCTTCACCGTCTAATAGTACATCGGTTAAGTTTTGTTTGATAAGATTAGCTGTGTATGTCATAGAGGTTGCATTATCAAAAGTCATAGACATCATTTTATCTCGAAGGTTGTATTCGTCTATTGCTTGCATTAAATGGTGAGCAATGTTAATGCCGGTGTGTGGGTATTCCAGCATTTTGAAATGTATTATTCTTTTTTGTAACATCCATTGATCATCTACCCAATGGCAAGTCACACATAAATAGTGATATTTATAACCACTATCCCAAGAATCGGCTGTTAAAGATACTCTACAGTTAAGGTTACTCAATTCGGCTTGTAACCGGACTTTGTACTCTAGGAAATTTTTCATTGCGGCGGAACGAACGGTTTTTCTAGAGATTCTTTTATGTTGGGGTTGTAGAGCTTTGTTAATGTAGGTGTTGAATGCGTCACTTTCCGAGAAAAGAAAAGGTTGTTCGGCGTGTACTATCATTTTTCCTAGTTCATCCCTATCCCTCTCATAGTTGTATGTAAAGCCGTATGGATGGAATTGGGAAATTTTGGGCTGGGTTGGATCACTAGCTGGTTTTGCACAAGCTTTCATGTGTCTAGATAAGTGTCCCGTCCCGTTTTTGGTAACTGCCGTGAATACACTATTACATGTTTTACATTTTGCCCATTGTTCACCATCTTTACTTAGGACAAAATAACGCCATACCTCACTCCTTCGGTTTTTCAAAAGTAGCATCTCAGTTTCGGTTAACCATTCATGATGTGTGTGATGGTTAGTAGTGGGACTAGTGGGAGTGGCAGTAGAAGGGGTAGAACCGGAGGGAATTCGGGTACTTTCTTGGCTACCTTGGCTAGAACAATAGTTTTGTTGATCACCGATATAATTAGGTGGAAATTGGTATGGTGGTAGTGGAAATTGGTTTAGTGGTGGTGCTGGAAATCCCGACGTATTATATGGCTCATAGCCCGGGGGGAAGTAAATGGGGTCATTGGTTTGACTCGTAATTTGGGGGCTCGTTGTATTTGGTGGTTCCCTAGAACTACTACTACGGATAAGTCGGCCTTTCCCCCTAGACCTAGATGATGGGTTGTTCGATGCCTAATTAACAATTAATTTTTTAATAAAAAGTGGTTAACTATAATAATAATAATAATAACAACAATTTTAACAATAAAAATATCAATAATATTAATTAATAACAACAACTATAACAATAACAATAACAACAAAAATAAATAATA